CTTCCCCATCTCTCTAATAAGAGGACAGAGTTAAGAGGTTCTACCGAATACCTTGGTATAAAAAAACAGCTTCTACAATTTTCCCTTAATAAAGTAACTGCTAACTAAAACATCACTTCATTAAGATCTTCACTAGGCAGGGATGAGATGGCATTTACCAAAGGACCAGGCTGAATCATGGTTTTCACCATCCCATGAAAAACTAGATAGTCCCACTTTCAAGGCATTTTCTATTTTTAAAATCATTTCATTAAGGCACACCACATTGCACATGGCTTTAGTTACATATTCAAATTATGGTCACATAAGGCAGTAGTTTCACAGATTTGTATCTGTACAACTCTAAATTGAAATAAAACTTCAATGGGCATACTGCTTATATATGCAATTAAAATACTGAACACTGGTATGTCTGTGTATGTTTTGGTTGGATATTTTCTCAAAGATGGTATGCATTTCATGAATAATTTTGTTTTTTAATAGGATATAAAAAGGGAATTATTAGACTGTGTGAAAATGACAATTTGTTGTTGTAGGCTTGAAGCAGTCAGCAACCAGAAGCAGGCAGAGCTACAGACTATAAACCTACCTCCTATTGGCTATGTAGTATTCTGTAGAAGACGACCAACTTTGGGGATTGACCAGGCCTATTCCTCAGATCTGAATGGATGTAACCAAAGTTTGGAAAGGTTCATTCTATGTTAGACTGTGTGAAAATGACAATTTGTTGTTGTAGGCTTGAAGCAGTCAGCAACCAGAAGCAGGCAGAGCTACAGACTATAAACCTACCTCCTATTGGCTATGTAGTATTCTGTAGAAGACGACCAACTTTGGGGATTGACCAGGCCTATTCCTCAGATCTGAATGGATGTAACCAAAGTTTGGAAAGGTTCATTCTATGCTCGCCAGCTGGGCACTGATGCAATTCCTTGCCTGTTTTTAACTCAGTTTAAATCAGCATTTACCAGCATCCTGTTCTAAATTAGTTTTTCCGTGGAAACAGCCAAGATTGGTGATAAGTGAGCTAGCAGTCCCTGGGTCCACGTCCAGTAGATCTTGCTCGAGCAAGATGACTGTAGATTAGAAACTTTAATTTTATTCTTCATCAATCTATCTCTTTTTTTGGAGGTGTGTGTGGAGGGGGGGGAGGGGGGGTAAAAGTGTGGACCTGGAAGGCGGGAGACAGAGATTAAGAACAGAGGCAGAGTGTTTGTAAAAATGGCACCTAGAGCTGTGGAAGATACTTGAGCCTTCAGGCTAATGTACCCCAATTTTATGCAACTTTGCTACCATATTTTTTGGGGGGAAGCTTCCACTCCCCAAGAAAGCTCCCCAGCACTGAGATAAGTTACATGGGGAGAAAATTATATAGTTAAGAGCCATACTGTAAGTCAAGAAATACAAAACTTACAGTGTCACTAGCAACTTTAACTCAGCTGTGTTGTTTTTCCATTCCTATTTTTCTAGTTAAACATGACTGTTTCTGTTTTTTAAGTGTTAAAACAACATAACAGGTGTGCAATGCTATCAAGCTAACAATGATGCTAGTGGGTGTTTTGTGTCAGGAAATAATGTAGGATTGAATTTTAAAACAAACAAAACAAAACATATTGAGCACTGAATGTTGTCCCCAAAATATTTATTTAAAATACTGTCAAGTTCACTTCTCAACTAAAAACAAATAAGCCTCATTGTTAGTGTGTCCACCACATTTAAGAGGTCATATGTTTTTAAAAACATTGTGTTGTTGATCCAGTAGTTATCAGCATTAGAAATCTGTATGATTGAACACATAATAAACTACACATATCTAAAAAGTATTGGAATTATTAACCTATTAAAGGTCATATAAATGCTGTGTCTGCATTTTTGCTGCAAGATTTTTTTCTAAGATGATGACTAAGTCTGACTGAATACACTGAAGAAATTTATAACAGAACAGACAGCATGCAATATACAGCTTGCTCTACTGTGCAATATTAGCAACCCCAAAATAGTTCCTATTCTGAAGTGAAGGAAAATTCAGGCTAGAGGGATTCCCACATTTGGTCTATTTAGCATCCCAAAGCAAAAGGTACAATGTACATTACAGAGTGCAGCTTACAATATACAAGTAATTCATACGGTAGGACCAAAAAAAGAAATTCAATAAGAAATAGCAGAAAGGGCAGTTTGTTCAGCTTCTTCAAAACTGTATTTTTTATACAATTTCATTTTAAAAGAATGTCTGTTCACATTGCTCTTATAACTCTTAAGCTAGTTAAACCAAATCTAAACTCTGGCAAGAGAAACTATACTGTACATGTATGTATACACTGATTTACTGTACCAATGAAAATGTTAATTAGAATTGTGAATGGCTGCACAAAAGGGAGAAATATTGTTAAAAAAAAGTAGCAGCATCCTGACTTCTCTTCCTTCCTTTTCCACCTACCTGTCTTTTAGAGTATTCCGCCTGGTACAACCAGAAATTCTCCATTTCGCTTTTGGTGTTGTTCAGCTGTAACTAACACATCCTCCACTAACAAGCTGGGAATAGGTTAATGCTTCACTGTTATTTTGTGCTTGGATTTAATAATGAAATTGGTAATAGGAGATGCGACAGGACTCCATTGTGTCACACCTATCCAGATTAACCAGCTATGTAACTGAATATCCTGTGAAGACATACATCAGGAAGAGTGGAGCTTCCTTTGTCACAGCAAGCTGTTCTTGTTTTAGCAAAATGGTGATGTTTATTCATTCGTAGCAGCAGTATATCT